ATTCACAAGACCTGACTTATAATTAGAAACAAGGCGGGTGTCTTGCAAGAAGCAGGAGTTGTTTATCCTTCCCGAACACCTGAGTTCACCCAAGGTTTTAGGGATTTATTGTGTTCGTTAATGTGTATACTTTTTAGTTTTTTGTGTTATACATGTATGTTGGTTGTGTGTTTCTTCGTCGTGACTTTGATAAGAAATATGTGTTTATGCTCGAGACAGTTTAAAGGATCGCGATTTGACGTAGATTAAAACGCTCTGACGATCGCTAATTAATTTAGTAATAATTTAATTTTGGATGTAACACGTCTTCTGATTGGCTGAAAGTGTTTTGTCTATCAGCTCATAGACATAATTTTGTCATGCGACCGAGACGTTATCAACGTTTTTATCATGATTTACTTCTTTTTAGAATTAAATTTTAAGAAATGACTTTAATATGTTTTCTGTCTATTCGAAATAACATAAAAAATGTGGTGCACACTTTTAAATAACCCGCTACGCGGGTTATTCAGTGTGCACCACATTTTTTATGTTATTTCGAATAGACAGAAAACATATTAAAGTCATTTCTTAAATGTTTACAAAAAAAAACAGGCGCGGGAAATACACCCAGTTACATTTCCAGATGCTAGAAGCGGGAATATTAAAAAAAAAAAAATAAAAATTTGTTTAGACAGGTCTGTCGAACAAGGAATTTAATTGGTGTGGCCTAACTATATGATTTAAGATGAATAAAAGTAATTAAAGTAAACAGATGTAAACAGATGTAAATCACTGCAAAGTAATAAAGACATTTTAAAAATTCACATCATCAACATAAGATCAAAATATAATTATCAAAGAGCAATAACCGCAATTTGCCCATTTAGTCGATATGGATTACCTCCCATTGTCAAATATTCGAAATAATTCATATAGCGGGGATTCGGGAGAATTTTAGGCGTTTCGTAGAAAATCTGACAGTTGTTCCTAACGCCCTGATATAAACGCCACTCAGAAATAACTTTTTTCTCCGAAGAATTTCCCAAAAATAGTCAAGGGGTCCAAAAAACGAACGAAAAAATTAATTGAAAATCAAAATTTCTTCTTATATTATGGATTTCCATAATTTTATGAATTACGAAATCTCATAATATAGCAACAAAATTATTCGAATAACTAATATTATTGAATTTCATAATAATGTGTTTAATTAGGATATTTCATAATATTATGCAATTTCCTATTTGCCTCGACTGACGTATGCACAATCTAAATTCACTACAAGAGTAAGTAACAGCATATAGAAAAGTCGTTCCGTATGATATCCAGTCATGTAGCATTAAGAACAACCGTTGTTAAATTATGACAAACAACATAAAAAAGAGGCGAAAGATTTCAAAGGGACGTTCAAACCTCATTAGTCAGAAAGAAACAGATAACGCCGTGGCAAAAGGCTAAAGACGACAAAAGTGCAAATGAAGTTTTTGACATAAAAAATTGACCGCATCAACGCTAGTTATTAACTGTCAATCAATCTACCAGTTGCCCCATTTGTTGCAAAACATAGTATTCTTATGCTTCTATTTGATAAAACTAAAGGTTACAACAAAATTTGCAAAAAGGAAACGTTAACAAAAGATGTAATGGTATGAAAATAAGGAGATGCATTATGATTGCAAATGAGCCAACTATCCACTTAAGTTCATATGAGGTGAATGTAAGCAATATTAGGCAACCGTGCAGCCTTCAATAATGAGAAAACCAATACCGTATAGTCGGCTATAAAAGTCAAATACATTTAATTTAGAAAAATGAAACAATTTATCAGAGAAAACTAACGGCTTAATATATAACAAAACAATTTACGAAACCCAAATATGACAAACATCCAACAACGGCAACCACTCAACTACAGAATCCTGACTTGGAATATGCACATAGAAAGTGCGGCGGGGTTACAAATGTGTATATTTCTAACCATTTCGAGTACAATGTAGGTGAATCACAGATGGATATTTATCACACATTGATTGCGCATTGGCTTATTTATATGTTATACATGAACAATGAGAATTTTTATGCTTCCAATAAAGTTAAACTTAGACAGCTGTATTTATTGAAAATTGCGGATAAATCCTGCATGCTTTTGAATTGGTTGTATGTGATCTTTACCAAAATAACTATTCTTCACACTGTAATGCTTTCTAACCTATCATTTATTGTGCTAATTGCATTTCAGCAACAGAAACCTCATGAGATTGACATAAACAAGTCAACAGAAGGGATGCATAAATATGGAGTCAGGTGTACATTTTTTTTTACTTAAAATGTCAGTTGCAGGGCTGTTATGGTGAATTTAAATTGACGAGGGGGATTTTTAACGACCTTGACTACCCATGAGAGTCTTGCACGGTCGGATTAAATTGTTTTCATATTTTACTCTTTTTGAATTTGTTGATGCTGAATGACATCCCTTCAAGTACATCTTGATATGCGCAGCTTAAAATTGTGAACGTTAACAAAACTTTTGAAAGCGCTGTAGTAGGAGTATTGCTTATTATAAACATGTCTTAACAAAGACATGGACATATCTATTTAAAATTCAGGACAGGCTGATGAAGGGAAGAGATGATTTCTACATTTCCGCAAAACAAATAAAAAAACACAAATATATCTTGGTTTTTATTTCCGTTGCGTGTTATCAACTAGTGAACTTTGAACAAACTGATTATCTTTAACCTTGGTTTAAAAAAAGAAGAAAGATATAAAAAAAAAATCTCAACCCTGTAGTCAAATGTTTGTCGAAGAAACATTTCTAACACCATTATAAAAGCAAACAAGTTGAACAGACAACCAACAGTTCGCAAAACTCTCCAATGAAATAAAGAAACGAACACTATTTTAACAAGGATTGATCCGAGGTGCTGAAAAGGGTATTCCATCCTTCACATTTTGATGTTTCAGTCATACGTGATAAAACAATCATAAACTAGTGCGATAACATTCAAACTTATAAAGATTTGTGGTTTTAAAGGTCATGATCCAAACAGTATTCATTCGAATATGAAACAAGTTAAAACTTCTTAACATATAGTACACCTTCTTTTTAAAGCAAAACAGCAGTTGGATTACAAACTGGTGTATATGGTTTGTTGATATATTGAAAAGGACGTACTTTCAAACCTAGTAACTGATTCAAATTGCTTCCAATTAAAAAGCAAGGCCGTTTTGGCATTTTATGTGAACATATTATTCCTCTTTGCAATTTTATAGCACCTATCTAAGTTATAGCAACTTCTTATTTTTGCTATTTTACAAAGATCGATGTATTATTGAAATATAAAGTAAGCCCTATTTGCAGAGGGATTTTTTTTTTGCATTTTCAAAAGCTTAAATGAACGCCTGTTACCAGAACAATATACCACAAATTACCGCAGTCTAAATAGGTAAAACAATGTTTGGTAGGTACATAACACTACAGGGAGATAACTCTGTAAAAATCAGCTGAACGTTTTAATCATGTTCTATTGTTAAGGAAATATTAAGCTTCTCAATGATCAAAATTAGTGTTTGTCAAACTGCTATATATCCAATGAAATTTTTCCTAGAAAGTGTGTGGTTCAAGTTTTTTGAAATTTTATATTTTTGTCAAAGGGTCACAGTTAATATTTTGTCAAAATTTTATGTTTTAAACGAGCCAAATTAATTTTAATCAAGGTGTTTTGTACCACCTAAACGACAATTTTTTTTATCTTCTATTATAAATATTGATCCCCCAAGATATATTTTGTTTTCTGTTTTTCCAACAATTTGATCATTTCACGAGGATTTTTCAGAAATACAATTTGTCTGCAATCATAGCACAATTAACTTCTTTCTGTTGTGAAATGATTAATAAGATACCTTTCTAAAATTGTCAGATTATAAATTTGAAATTATTAAGAAGCTGAGCTTTAAACTCCTTCAAGTAAAGTTGACCTTAGATACATTTTGCTATTTTATATTTTAGATCTCTAAAGGATTAACCTTCACCAGGAACGCTCCAAGTTAAATATTTGAAAGCCAAGGATGTATCAGAACCGAAAAAGTTAAGAAGCTTAAATATATGAAAGCCAAGGATGTATCGGAACCAAAAAAAGTTGAGAAGCTAAGGCTTCTAAACTTTTTCGGTTCCGATACATCCTAGGCTTTCAAATATTTTACTTCGAGCGTTCCTGGTGAAGGTTAATCTAGAAAAGCACATGGAATTTATTAAGTGTTGTTTTAATTTTAACATCACTGGATCGATATCGCTGCTGGTGCGCCATCAGTTCCCGATGGTATCATCAGCTCAGTAGTCAGTGCGTCGGCACTGACAGGATTTAAACCATACATTTCTAAAATTGTTCGATTATAGATTTTGAAATTACCTAGAAACCAAGATTTCAACTCCTCCATGCAAAGTTGAGCTTAGATGAATGTTGCTATTATTTTTAAGTTGTTTTTGGTCATATAGATCTTCCACTGTTTCAGTTCCCATGCATTTTTTGCTTTCAAATATTCGGCTTCGAGCGTTCCTGATGAAGATAAATCCAGAAAAGCACATCAAACGCATGCCATTTATAAAGTGCTGCCTTAATATTTACAGTGCCTGTTCGATAATGTTGCTGGTGGACTATCAGTCTCCGAAAGTATCCTCAGCTTAGTTGTCCGTTCGTCAATACTGACAAAATTTATAACATACCTTTTTAAAATTTTCTGATTATCAATTAGTTAACTATAAAATTACCGTGGTTTAAACTTCCTCATGCAAAGGTTACTTTAGACGGATTTGGCTTTTATGTTATGTTCTTTTTTATCATATAGCTCTTCAACTGTCTAGTTTCCTATACGTTCTTGGATTTCAAATATCTGCTTTTGGGGTTCTAGATACAGGTAAATATATATTCATGACATTGATTTAACTGGAATTTAACGTACGGATTTTTTACGACCGGGCAATATAGAAAGTGCAAATAACTTGTAATTGATCTCGTTACCGTCTTGTACTCGACCAAAACTGTCACAACGTATCCCAACATCTTCAGAATGATGACAATCATGATTTCCCCAAGCATTTCTTCTGCATTCGGCCAGTTTCTTTTCTGAACCTTTACACCTGAGATCATCCAACCAAATGTTGCCGCTGCCATCATTTACGGAGCTGCCCATGGAAATACCGCCTCTTATAAAAAAGAAGTAAAATATATAGAAAAAGATAATCATAATTCATCAAAATGTTGAAAGATCAACATTTAATGAGTATTCAAATAATACTTTAAGTCTCTAATGAAGAATACAAAATTGATAAACAATAATGTACAAAAGTTGATATTTATATTTTATATTTGATGTGTTTTCTTATTTTGTGTGATGATCACTGAATGCTAAGTTTTCTTTAAGGTTGAAAAATGGGTGCTATTTTCTTGTAAAAGTTTTGTTCCTTATCTTGAATGTAAACTTGTTTCTTACGAAAAATATGTTTGTAGTCGAACATTTAGAATAGTTCTCAAGTAGCCAATACTTATAGTAGCAGACGTAAGCACTGTCAAACAGGTCTCGTTCCGTTTGGAGTTCTTTTGATAACACCGGTTATTTCAATTGTTTTGTATATTTCAAAATAATTTACGAGTTTAAAACTAACCTTTTAGGTCAAGAATCAATCTTCTATAACAAATGATGAAGTCCGTTTTGTATAGAACATTATCCAACAGACCGTATTTGCTTGCTTTAAAGGTATTATTAAGGGTTTGAAGTTCATTTAATTTTAAGTATCTGCAATACACTATTTTTACATGAGATGTTATTTCCAATATTTCCTTTGCCAACGTACATTACGGGAATTCGTTCAGCAAAAAACTTCAGTGGCAATTAAAAACCGGAAGATTATAAAACGTATGTCCAAAAGGAAGGAAACAATATCCGACACTAAGGCTACGTATATTTATTCTCTTCAGTCTCGTGGGGACAGGTGATTTATGAAATTTTGAACGACATACTTGATCTCTCATAAAATTACAAAATACATAGTTATAGAGAACATCTATAAACATAGAGATAAGGTAGGATAATTAAGTATTTGTGTATGTATGCAATTTAACATTTTAATCGAGTTGTAGGACTGAGTTTAAATTAAAAGATAAATTTGATATACTTAAAAAAAAAATTCTAATATTACAATATTGTAATTGTATTAATATTTAAAATTGATAATCAAACTGCCAGTTAGTTCTCATGAGATTTTACAAGTTTTTACAATTTTGTGTAAAAGTAGGGACACAGTGGAGATAAACGTCAACAAACTCATTTCTGCTATAATGGATGTTTGTATGTTCACGACGTTGGTTAAAAAAAGCCCTTTTCAATCGATTTCATTTCACCATTTAATATCACAGGAAACTTAAATTTTAGCTCTTTAAACTAGACTTAAAGTGGTACAGATTAGCTTTGTTTTTTATCTAAAGCTTATAACAATGAGAACCTCGTGACACATACTATAACGTTTATTTTTCTCAATAAATAACTTTGATGAGTTTATTATGGAACCATGTAATAATCTGTCGTGACCTCGTGCTGTTTATAGAAATGTCAACAAACATGAACATTTTGCATGCTGTATCAAGAAGTTGAAAATTGTTAAATTTTGTATGTATCTGAATTCAATTTTACGAGTGGGGGTCTGATTTAAAAAGAAACTGAATTGATTTTGAGTTTTTCAACAAAAAGATACCCCTTTTAAGATATTTTTAAAGGGATTCATCGCTCCTTGCAATCTCCAACATATCATCTTTACAAGCATGTCCAGTTTTTGTGAATGTGGTTCAATCAACATAAGAACCGCAAAAGCGCACTAAAGTTTGGTCTAATTCACTGTTCACACAATCATGCAGTTGGAAAACTGAAATTATACTCTCATACTCTCAATTTCAGCACTATTCCAAATAAATACGACGTCTTGAAAAGCTATTTTAATTTGATCTCTGAGAGGGAGTTTTGCTCTCCAGTTTGAGACTCAATGCTGCCATGGAATCTTTACTGACGTCTCAACATTTTTGCTTATACAAAAATTGTGACTTTTTTTGTGCTTGTTGGTGCAAAATATTTCCTGAAACATTCAAACGCAATGATATAATAAATTATTTTTGTTTTTCTACTTTTTACAATTCCATCCGAGATGCCGATGACGTACTTCTTGTTTCAAATGTTACCCCAGATCCTTAACTTTCAAAGAGTTTAACATAAATTTTCAAATCGAACTCCGTGAGATTATTCAATCATTAAAAATATGTATATATATATTAACGGATTTATGTCATATTCAACATTGATATTGTTGCATGTTATAACATGGGTAGGAGAATTATAGGTTTCATAAAGAGTGAGAATGGGATATCGCTTGATATCAACACGAGTTATTTAATTTCAATATAAAAATAAACGAGCCTTTATTAGTTCCTTTTTAATTAAATTACGAGAGTTGATATCAAGCGATATCCAATTTATACAAGTTGTTAAACCTATTTCTCTTATAGTTAACACTGTCAGAGTTTCAAATTAAAATTTCCGCAAAATGATGATCTAGTCTTTTGTACATTCCAGTATGAAGTCATATGTCCTTTTCCGGTGTCAAACTTTAACATAAGACATTTTAAAACTTTTCATACGCTTCAGAATGTAATAAAATTTGACAAAAAGAAGATTGTCAAGTGAAATGTGTGAGTGTTTTGTATATTATTGAAGAAATCACAATGTCCATTGCCATGGACGAAATGTATATCGTCTTAACCTTTGAAAGTCATCATTGACCTGACGAATAACCAATGGAAATGCCGTAATACCATCTTGTGATGCTGGACAAACTAATCAAATTAGCACAGATTTTCGTATCACACTCCGTGCAGTGTGATACGAGAAATATCTATTCGGGCAAGAAATAGATAACAGGCCACAACCATAAGAGAATATTTCTTTGAAAAACATCCAAATTCATCTTTAGTCTTTCCATTTTAATTGTCGGAAAAGTTTTTGGTTAGCGTTTTTGTTTTCATCGTTTTGTTTGTTTTTATATGTTTTCATGACTCTGGTATCTGTATTTTTTCCGACTTGTTATCTAAAGTAAAATGGCAATTACCGAAATCCAAGCTGTCGACATGCTACCACTGCGTCTCTGTCGTCAAAGTAATCATCGCATACTGTTCCCCATACGCCGTTATACAAAATTTCTAATCTGCCCCCACCAGCTAAGCGTATGTTATCTAAAATATAAAAGTACTTGTCTGGAAAGTTATTTTTTATTGTACAAGAGTATGCTATTATCTAAAAACAGTTGTTGGCATGATACGGGTTATGTTCTTCTCATATATTTTATGATGGTATGATACTAAACCCCTAACGGTAGGGATTGTACCTGATATTCATATGATGAAGACATAATCTTTCAATCAGTTTAATTGAGGTCTGGAGCTGGCATGTCAGTAACTGCTAGTAGTCCTTTGTTAATTTATGTATCATTGTCGTTTTGCTTACCTATTCAGACATCGGACTCGGACTTCTTTTAAAAGAGGAACGAAAGATACCAGAGGGACAGTCAAACTCATAGATCGAAAACAAACTGACAACGCCATGGCCAAAAATAAAAAGACAAACAGACAAATATTAGTACAGATGACACAACATAGAAAACTAAAGACTAAGCAACACGAACCCCACCAAAAATGGGGGTGATCTCAGATGCTCCGGAAGGGCAAGCAGATCCTGCTCCACATGTGGCTCCCGTCGTGTTGCTTATGTTATTACAAATCCGGTAAATAGTCGGTAGGTCACATTCGTGAAAAGGGAAGGGTATTGTAGTTACGACATAAGGAACATATCCGATATCATCTGTGACACGGTTATTCCATAACGGTCAACCAACTCGTGATGGCGTCCGTAAAATTTACGAAGGGATGATTTCAACTTCCCCATTTGGAACTCTTGGTTTAATAGCTTTCTTGTGAGCAGCAATCCTCTATCAAGGAAATCATCATAGGAAAAACAAGCCCGGGAATATCGTATTAATTGGGAGATAATACCCCGCATGCAGGCGCTGCTGGAATGTTGCTACATAGAAATGAAAAGTTCACAATTAGGAAGCTGAAATCATCTCTTTTGTCGTAAAAGTTTGTTTTCAACCGACCCTCATTGTCAATTTCTAGATGTAAGTCAAGATATGAGGCAGACTTAACTGTATCTGTAGTATCCTTTATCTCTAGTTCGATGGGATAGTTTGGTTCAACGACATTTATACGATATATTTGGTTTACAGTTTGATTCAGAAGAAACACCGACATAGCTAGATAATACAATTAATTATCTAAATACTACCACAATTTGATATTAATAAGTATTGTAATTTTCATTGTTATTAATAAATGTAATGTCAGTATTACAAATCTAATCTTGAATCAATCCTAATCCTATCTTTATTTTGGGAAATATTTTTACAAATTCAAATGTGACGTCACTTTGTGTGTTTTTTTTAGAATTTCAAATGTGACGTCACTTTGTGCGTTGAGGCTTTGGCTAACTCGGCTGTGTATTTTTATGTGTTGTATTAAGTTGTTTTATGTAATGTATCCGTTTTTATTCTGTAGTTAGTCCCCACTTCGGTTTCATCATGTATATCTATTATATAGCCATTTTATAAAATTTACTGTTTGCAAAATTATAAATTATTCTAAATAGTAAGGATGTTCTTGTCCCAGGCAGAAAACCCTGGCCGTGTTAGGCGCAACATTTTGGAAGTTTTGGTCCTCGGTGCTCTTCAGCTTTGTACTTGTTTTGGCTTTCAAACTTTTTTCATCTGAGCGTCACTGGTTGGTCTTGTGTGGACGAGACGCACGTCTGGCGTATTGAATGTTAAGCCTAGTACCTTTTGTTAGCTATTATTTGTGTGTTTCTTTGTCTTATATGTTCTCCCATTTATTTTTATTATGGTCCTGTCATGTGATGTTGTCGTGTTGGTGTTGTGTTTAACGTTGCCATAAAAGCGGGAGGTTTGGCTTGCCACAAAACCGGTTTCAACCCACCATTTTTTTTAAATGTCCTGTACCAAGTCAGGAAAATGGCCATTATTATATTATAGTTCGTTTCTGTGTGTGTTACATTTTAATGTTGTGTTTTTGTTGTGTCGTTGTTCTCCTCTTATATTTGATGCGTTTCCCTCAGTTTTAGTTTGTAACCCGGATTAGTTTTTATCTCTATCGATTTATGAGTTTCGAACAGCGGTATACTACTGTTGCCTTTATTTAAAACGTTTTTGTAGAAACAAACAATAGTCCATGAAATAAATTAGACGAACATACCTTGTGCCAACAGGCTAATTGGAAGGTATACTACCGAAAGCAATAAAAGCAGCATTATCCTATAAGAAAAAGAAAATACTCGAATATTACTAGTTCGTTTGATTTAAAAATCATCAATTTAAAACACAACTCAAAAACCTAAGAATGTTTGTTTATGCGATAAAGACCCTCCTACCCTGGAGAATAGGGTACAGAAACAATAGCATACCATACTTTTATCAAACCCTATCGACCTTGTTCTACTTTCATGATGCCTGCCTTTTACTTTGAATTATGAGATTTAAAAAATAACGGTACATACTACCTTTATACAATTCATTGTATGCGTAGAATTGTCTTTATTAAAAAAAATCGCAAGCAATAAATCTGGAGATATATTTATGTTTTTTTCATTGTTATAGAAATTACCGACAATAAATTGTTTTAGGTGAGAGAACTTATGTTTATTTATACTAAGCTCAAGATTTGACATCATTGTTTTATTTCTCTTGTAAAACAAATATGACAATATCATATTTGGAAATTACTGTATACAGGAAATGAAATGCTGTACATTAAATAATAATGTAAGACATTTAATAGTTGCTCGATAAGTGTATATATATATGTACTCATTATCGTTGATAACCACGACACTCTAATATTGTTCATTGCGCATATATATGCAGGCAGATACGTGATACCAACACATATGGTTTTAATGACTATAAGTTTGTTTGCAGAAAAAAAGTATGCTATGTAACCTATTGATTTTTTATCAATATTTTTTTTTTTCGCTGTTGCTATAATAAAATTAACAATCAATACATTTCTTGGCCCCCCTCCCCCCATATATCTGGATTTCCTTCTAAAAATCCTGAAACTTAAAATATTGGATATAAGGAGACAAGTAAGGCAGCAGCAGGAGTATCGATTCAGTGCTAGTTAAAGAAAAGAACACTTCAAACATTTCGTTCAGCTGAAGCACTGTTCTGGAATGGATCTTCTACAGAAATTGTTTAACATTACAATTTAAAAGCCGATATGACAAATTGGTAGGTACATTAGGAGATAAATTACCAAGAGGTACCCAATTTCATTTAAAGTCATTTTTGCATAAGGAAGTCAGAAGCTTAGCTTCGTAATCATTTAGAATCTTAGCCACGTGGAATAAAAAAAGTGTGTTTTAAATGATATTAGTATCAAAGCACTGTGTATTGCATGAAAAGATGATATCGACGCGTTCTAACAGTCAACCAGCAGAGGTATCGGTCCAGTGCTAGTAAATAAAAATAATCAAGCATACAACATACACAAATAATTTCGAGCATACAACAATACATTTCTTTCACTTTTGACACTTTAAAAAAAAAAGCATTATCATGATTAATCATTACCCAATCATATATATTGAGTATATCCAGTCTCCGATGACATACACATGCTTCCTATGTTTTACTTTAGGCGTATACTAGTTCATTCAAATGATTCGTATTACCTTTTTACTAACATATTTCCGGTTTTGTTATGGTAATTTTATTCAAAAAAATATTCTCATTCTTTTAAAATAAATTTGATTTGTAAATTATGGGAATAATTAGTTTTTTCATGCAGCAAATTCTACTATCCGATGTATTGATTACTCATTTGTAAACGCGGTTGATAAATCGAATTCACAAACATATTTCATAGTTTAAGGGCATCCGATACAGTTTCTCGATATAATGTCATTTTTATAATTTTGAAATATGTTGTAGGCCTTGGCGAGTTTTAAAAAAAAACACAAAATAAAACATAGGTCACCGTGCTTGTTTTCGAGAAAATTGAGGCTGAAAATTGGGGATTTGTGCAAATTTGTAAAAAAGTTAGACAATATTATAAAATTTTTTGAGAAGATATTCTTCGTCGTAAATTAGTAAGAATGGGTTCAATCTGAAGCTGTGGTAAGTAACAATAAGGGAAAAATAAAACCCTACAAGAATGATTGTATATTTATTCAAGCCTTGCTTGACATTGCGGACAAGATGCTCAAAGTGGCATATTTTTTAACCGAAAAATATGGAAATAAACTGGTTCTGAAAATGTCATTTTTCTCATTTTTCTACATTAACTGCATTTTGTCATGCTTTCTCCAAATCTCAAATGAAAAGTATATGTCACCGTGCTGGATTCGAAGATAAACGCAATTAATACTAAAAATTGCGTTCCCCTTTGGTAACCTCGCCATTAGCGCGAAAATGCACGACGTCGCTGGCTGAAGATTTCGACATCTCCCGCCAATTATACCAATGCAAGGTCATCTTCGTCGTTTTTAAGGTGTATAATGATAATTTCTCTCTACTTCGAGGGGTGGAAGGGCCATATTCATGAATTTAGGATAGATACATCTAATTTGACGGAGTTTAAGAACAGAAAGTTAAATCGACAGGAAGTCGAGATTTATTCATATCGTGATGCGGAAACTTATTATCTTCATTAGAAATAGGATTTGTTAATTTATTATCGTGAATTGAGATGACATCCTCCTACATGTACCCTCTCCAGACTTGGATTTAGGGGGCAGGGGTCCGGGTAATCCTTAAGGAGCTAAATATATGATAAATATATAAACTTCTTACAAATATCATTCCAATTGGTGACTTTCTATAGTGCCCTCTCTTAAAAAACCACGATCCGCACCTGAGTACTCCTTTAATCATTTTGGTGTTCAGGAGAATTATCAAGTGATTACAAAAAATGAACCATCTTTTTTCCATTTTAATGTAATAAAGTTTTATAGTCAACGGAAACATTGAAAATCGACATAGGAGAATTACAAACCGCAGTCAAGCATATGGTTATGAAGAAAATTATTTGAAACTTTTCATACTAGATCTTGTATACATGATTTGATGTTTTACGCCCAGTTATTCAGAAGCAAAGAAATGTAAAAAGAGAAATGGACGGAAGGACAGACAGATGCACATTCACCTTTTGAAAAGCTACAAAGTGACTATACACTTCATTAGTTGATTAGTGATACATACCTGGTATTAGCTACGATGTTGATGTATGGCTGTTTTATGTCCAGTGGCAAATCAAATGCATTCGTAGAAGGCCGTACGGTGACATATGGTTGTTAATTTATGTCCTTTGGTCTTTCGTGTTGAGTTGTCTCATTGGTATTCATACCACATGTTCTTATTTTTTTAATCAGAACGAGGAAATGTTAATGCAATATGAGTGTTAACCATGCTTTATACTATAGACAGACATGCACTATGGGCCGTTCTAGTTTTAACGTTCTAGTTTACAAAGTAACCGTACAGAAGAAGACATGTCACCATAGCCTTACATTTTAACCTGAATCCAAGTTTACTAGTTTTACTTACTCCTTGCCGCGTGCTTAGCGGAGAAGCAGCAAATACCAATATTAAAGACTTTAGTTTGATCCGGCCAGGAGCCTGTAATCAATATGAACTAATGGGTGTGTACGTTTTTTTTATAATTTCTTTCCAAACAGATACAAAACTTATAGAATTATGCCGCGTGTCACAAACACAAGACCAAACAATCCACGAGAAAATATTAGCTTAAATATTCTTTAGCTATACACCATATGCATATTAGTAAACTCCTCTTCCGTCACGGAATTTTCAAACGTACACCTTTTGATTTTGTATGAATACTTACTGTGTATATATAGTAGCACAATTATATTTGATAACTTATTAAAATTACCCTCCCGCATGTTGATCGACTTACCAACCTTGGACTATTTAGCATTTCTATACACACTTGTACTTTACCGACAAGTCTTCTCATGATTAGTATAAAAAGCAAACTGCGACTTTGAGATGAAGAACAGCAATAAAAGCGCTGTTCCTTTGCTTTTAATGGGTTTTTTTACTGCGCATGTGCTGATTTTGTGATGGATCATTAATTCCCCGTATCCTTTGTTTTTTTTATTATTTATTGTTCTAGAATTATTTGGGTTCTTTTTTAAGAAAAAAAAGTAAAACAACACGAGAAATAAATGTGTTTATACATTTATCAGTACAAAATATTGTATGTACTATAAACGAACAAAGATCATTCAAACAAGATTTATAAGTTATCAGTTACTATCAAAGAAGCTGATTCCTTTTTCTTTTTACACATTAATAAAAGCACAATACTTATATATTTTCCCTAAGAAACAAATCAAAATTACATTATTTTTTCTTAACTATATATAAACTAGCATTCCTTTAAAAAAAGGCGATAAAACTATTTATTGGAGAATTACGAACTGCAAACGCATTTTGTTAACATGATTAATTAAGATTATCTGATAATGTTCATCAATTTTCAATGACTTTGTGATTACAAAGCTAAATTTTGTAAAAATAGATGATAGTTCTAAAAAATGTTTGTTATTTGAATGAATAACTAAGAATTCCAAACAATGTTTTTTTTTCAATTACTTATTATCGTAATATCCAGTTATTTTTTTTATGACGGCCGCTGTTTTCGTAACACGAGGTGAACCGTCCTGTCTTCTTTGAGATAACAAATCAAGTAAACCCTGAAAGCCTTTTCTATGAAACGCTAGATCCAGATGACATTTCTTAAGACCGGATTGGGCACATCTTACAGCCATCTGAGCAGACATATATTTTCCCTTAACAAGATCTCCAAAACTCTCAGCATCAACCTTTACGATTGTATCATATTTCATGTTTTCAGCAATCGATTCAACGCTAAAAGAAAATTCAAGTACATCTTGTTTCTCTACTTTGGAAATAGTCATTAACTTATGTAAGGAATCGACATCATCAACGGCATTATGTGCATTGTACTTTTCATTACAAAAATGTTCAAATAACTTTTGCTGACTGTAGCTATTTAGGCCTGGAAATTTTTGCCGGAAAAGCGGAAGCGTGTCGGCGAATCCAAAAACATATTTCCTGAAAGCTGCATAGCAGGTTAGTTTGGACATGTTATTAATCAAACGCCTTGCATCAAATAATTTGCAATTATGTGCAACAAGCATGACCTGACCGTATTGTTCTAACCAAAGTACAAAACTCTGGAAAGCTGATTCCGAAGTAACTGCATGAACAGGTTTTCCATTGTAAAAAAGGATATTTCCATTTGCTGTTAAACCAGTAACAGCACTGGAACTCGGCGCTATTGATTTATTCGGCTGAATATACGTATCAAACTTATCACCAGAGACTATGTTTAGTGCAGCTATTTGCAGAATTTCGGAATCTAATTTCAGCGAAGATGTTTCCAGGTCAAAAAGTATGCAACTACCAGTAAAAGATGAAAAGGGCAATAATGCTGGTTTCTGTTTGATTCCCGGGATCTCTTTATCTTCAGTTACTAAACTAAGAGACAATCCAGATTTATAAGTAACACCCTATTTTTTTTCTGTCTGTATTAATTTATTCCTAAATTTCTTCTTTTCTAAACGCCGCTTTTTTACAATTGGTTGCTGGGAGTACTTCCGTTTCCGTTTTCTCTCTTTTGACAATTTTTCAGAATGGTTATTAGTGATTGCATCCGTTAAAAGGTTAGCTTGTGTATTTATGCATGAGATATAAGAATACCCTATATTTTTTTGCAACACTGCAGCGCTCACCCGTGTTTTCAGATTTTCGCTTTTACTGAAACAAAACCGTTTAGGTGCTTTAGATGCATATATATTGTTTGTAGATTCAACATCCTTTGTTGATCCAGCCGGTGCTAGACGTTCAGCATTGTTAGCGACTGTGTCAAATATGATTTGGACGTCTTGTCGTAAAGCATCATCCGTTAGCGGTTTACCATGAGGGAGATATTTATGAAAATTATTTTCAATGCTTTTATTGCACCAATTGCCACATTTGTCATGAATACCAAATGAATGTGGAACAATTGCTGTTAATGTTTCTTTGAGCTTAGTTGCATTGTTTTTATTCTGTTGAATAGCATATGAAAAACACATTTTGTAATATTCTATGATATCTGTACTCAGTGTTTTGTGTTTAGATTTCAAATTATAAAAAGCATTACCGAGTGATTTTGTTGAATGGTTGATATCGCTCCATTTTTTTACCTCGTGGTCCAAAGCTTCTTTTACCCTAGACAAAGTAGCTGAATCATCATCCATAATAAGCACATCAACAGGAACCCCAGAAACTTCTTCAATATTTTCCATCAGTGATGCTCCTGTTGACGATTCCATGGCTTTTGCGCTTTTTGACCAATTCTTTTGACAGTTGTGTGGTTTTGCGTCTAATTTGGCTTTCTCAGCACTGTGACATATGGCGCAATGTGTAACACGAAGGTCATAATCTAATATTTTCCCAGTAAGCTGACCAATTGCTGTTCCAACGCCCGACGAACTACTGTACGAGCGACCTGATCCCCGCTTCTGCCAACACATATCATACTTTACTGACAATCCTTTTCCTGGAGTTGCAATTCTTAAAAGATAATTAATTTTACATTATTATGTTTGATTATATTGGTTTTATAATTCTAATTATAAATTCTACGTAGTATATAAAAAAAGACTAGTATTGTCAGCAAAACTGGATATAGCGGCAAAATCGTTTAATGCCAACTATGAGCTACGTGGAGTTTTTAGGGATTGATTGATTGATGATTGCTTGATGTCCAGTGGCAATTATTTCATGCATATTCAAGACGATGTACTTTTAAAGTGCTTCGTACAGGAATAAAGGGAATCTGTGTATAGGCGACAATTAGAAGTGAACCCAACAACTTAAGACATCAACTTATTTCTTGACCAATTCCAATGTGGTTAAATTCAAAGTCTTGATTTCTTAGGGTTATTTAATGTGCTGAATCTAACTGTGTACTTTTATTTTGGAATTTCGGCCCGTTCTTTAATTGGTCCTCCTTTAATTCCAAAATTAAACTTTATTTGATTTCTTCAAAAACCGAATTCTTGGGGTTATTTGATATACTGATTTTAACTGTGCATTTAAATTTTTGTTCGATTTTAATGATAAAAAAAAGATGAATGCAATGGTTATTTTGATATGCTGAATCTAAACTCTTAAAAATAATTCCGGCCCGGTATATGCATAATTACCTTGTTTCTGAACATTCCTTTGTAATTGCTTCATGACATGAATCTCGTGCTACATCTACCATTGGTTTAAACAGCTCGCGTTCTCTCTTCTTCATCGTTCTTTCAGAACTACCAGGGACACCCATTATTGTCATAAGTCTGGAAAGCTGACGAACACCTATGCCAACATCTATCATTGCTAAAATTTAAATATCCATGTATAGAGGTATATACATAAATTAGATTATAGTCGACTTAATTCAAATCAAAACATCAATAAAGCTAACACTGGTATACTTATTTACAGATACATTTTCATCACGAGTTCGGAATACTAGACTAAGTATCCTTGGTTTTGAAAACGGAGGAGGACGGACTGACGAATAAAACGAAAATAATACAGTTGATTCTGTTATTTTTCTTCTTTGGGGAGCATAACATCGTCCTATAAATTTCAGAAAAGAAGAAATTGGTATAAAAATGAAAGATCTGTTGGTATATACAGGAACCTTTTTTGTTGGAAATTGTATATGGGTTTGTTATAGGAAATCTATTTCGATGTTCAGTCGCCGATATTACAATGTAAGGGCAGTATGATTTTATACGATTCGGTTTGGTGTTTTGCTTTCTGTTACCGATTTTACATATAATAAAACTATCTTAACCTCGTCACGGGTTCATGCAATAAGTAAGAAATATCGCAGGTACTTGTGGATTTTTTTAATTTCTTAGATTAATTGCAATTTAGAGCTAGACATACTGGTACTGTAATAGTAAAAGTTACACACGCAACTCAGATTGGTGAAGACATTAGGAGGATTTCCCGGTGATTTTTTTCATTAGTTATTTAGTATTTTTCTGTAAATTGTTTTAGTTGGTAGGATGCTGTCTCTTTCACAAACCGCACAGTAGTTTATCACTTCGAATTTTGGTTATTGAGGCCATCACGAAATCGTTGACCTTTATGGAATATATGTAGAAAGCTCAAATTAAAGCCGTTATATTATGAGCTTTGTATAGATTGACTACATACCATTGTGACCGCTTCCTCTCATTTTAAAGAATAACATGCACTATTATAAAGACGTAGAAGCTGATTTGTTCGAGAAACATTAATTCGGGAATCGTTTATACTAAATATTGTTCCAGTGTTGTTTTTAAAAAAAAATATTTAAAGAATGGAATCGCAAGAGAATGAGCAACTAAGATATATCAATTCAAGAGCTCTATTATTAAATTACCTAATGCTGCTTTTGTGTTTACATCATACACCTGTGGGCCACGTTTTCCATGTACATGTGTTTCACTGGTCTCAATCTTATTAACTTGCCCGCATTCACATTGTATAAACAAATGGCTTGCATACCCCATATTTTTTTCTGATGTAATGTTTATCAGAGCAAGTGCCTCCTTGCATTGTCGACAAAAGAGCTGTTTGGCTACATAAAAAAGATCTATCATTCTTCTTCCTTTTTTCCATGACTCCTCATCAACTGTGACCGTTTCTGTTTTCGCTAGTTTTATAACATGCTCTGATAGACAATTATTTGACGTTTTCTGCTTCGACTGTTTCACTTTTTCTCGTCTCTCTTTCTCTTTATGGCTAAGAAAGTGCCCGGAGTTTACCATTTTTAATGGCGGTTCCTGCAACCTGTTCAAGTTACAATGACGTCATGGCATTCAAATGGGAAGGAGAAGTTTATTAAGGAAAATTACACGCATGACGTCCCGCCGAAAGTAACGTTTTTGGGAATTTGAACGTTGAACGTCGCGCCAAGAGTTACCTCCCTTGAAACTGTATCGGATGCCCTTAAAGTAACTTGTATTACCTATATCAATATACTATCACCATTGGAAGGTCTAATGAAATTAGTGTCCATAACACGTAAGATTCATTTTAACATCAACCAATGATTTCGTAATTTTGAATTTGATTTTGATTTTGTTATTGTGAGAAATTCTTTTTTTAAATAAGATATCAGTAAGCAGTCTCATTAAAGAAGGGTAGAACTAATTAGTAAAACCTATATATATCTTAATAATACGAATACTCACAACGGAGGCTAATAATGCATCCCATTAGTCCTATTCTCTTGTCTAAACGGAAAAAGAAACAAGAAAATAAGATTATCTCTTTTATTAATGTATGCAAATATCTTATCTACTATAGTTGTCAAAGTTATCACTTGAAGATCTAAGATGTTTCCTGGTGCGTTCTTTAAATTCGGACTTATATATGATAAACATTCTCTTCAATACGTTCAGCAGGTCTGAATTGCATTGGTGATATCTCACGGAAGTTTTATAAATCAACACACGTTTGCGAGATAAATTCTTCCTTAATATATAACCTATCTTGTCATACTCAGATTCAAAAGTTTTATCTGTACTACTTTTTAAGAAAACTGACCGTCTTTATAATATATCTAATAAAAATCGTGGAATAAAAAAACAACAAAGTCATGAACATATCATGGAGGTTCCCGAGACAAAAAAAACCAACAAACAGTGTAAAGAAATATCTTGCTTTGTTAATTTAAATTTTTCGTCACGAGGTATCACCAGCCCAGTAGTCAACACTCTTGACAATAACTATCGTTCATGCAATTATATTCTGTAAATTCATCGTTGATTAAATATATTTCTACCCCAAGGCAAAACTTTATTGAATATTTGGTTTCCATTGCTCTTTATCTTTAATCTAATTATTGTGTCCTTCCAACTGTTCAAATGCAGTACTATCAACAAGTTACAAAAACACTTCAAGTACAGTTTAGATAATCGCGAGAAAGGATGTTGAGGCGAACGTATGCACCAGTCTTAAATGAAAATATGGAGATGTGGTATGATGTCCAGTGAGACAAATTATACACAAGGGATCAAATGAAATAAATGTAAGCAATTAAAGGCTACACAAACTTTTGTTGTAAACCATTTTCATTGTCTCTATTTCATTTATTCTCAACTATATAAACTCGGGGCGTAGTTAGTGTTGAAGTAGGATTACTGTAACATTGGCATATAACCCCGTATCTCCTTTTATGCATTATAAAAAAATATCTGGTTAAAAATAAAAACAACTGATGAATAGTTTGCTAGAAAAAAAAATATGAAACAAGTACGATTTTTGAAAAGCAACTACGCTTTAACAAATTTAAGTAGCCCTCTTTAACCTTTTGACTAGTGATGCCACTCACTCACAATGACTATAAATTTCCGATAGAGTCCATCATCGTCATACGAACAAACGATGCTAGGCGGATCAGAAGCAACGCTTTCTGTGTTTTTAAATATGTTTTACTGAATGACAGTTCAAAAGAATTATGGCTACATACAAATCAAACTGTTGTGAGTTATTCTATCCTAGGAAACACACAAAATTAAACAGATTATTTTGTACGGTTTGCAAATAACGCTTGAGGATTATGCCCTTGTAAGTAAATTGGTATATTGTGTAACTTTGTTTTTTTTAAAAGCGCCTTCATATAAACTATCAACATTTAGGTAGAACGAAGATGTATTCATTTGGATCTTAACCATGGCAAATATTATCAAAATAATAACGAATCTATAGACACTTAACCATGTTAACGGAATCATGTCAATCGCTTAATCAAATTATATCAATTTCGATAAAATGCTCATCCTGGGTTAATTTCTTAAAAGCAACAATTTCAATGTAGATCGTTTGACTCACATGATAGATTAAAACATTTTATTTTTCCTGTATTTGCTTATTTGAAAACATCTTTCAAAGGCAATCTTTCTGGGAAGTGACCTAACCAAACCATGACCAACTGTACCAAATCATGACAAATCGATGAACTAAACGCTCTCTCATTTGACAAAGTTACTACCCCTGGAAATGATGATGACATGTGGCTGCTTAACGTTCAGCGACATATCAAATGCATATTGAGAACGTGAACAAGTTAATATAAGATAAATATTATTCCTGTTGTTTACTAGACCAAGACGCTGAGCCTGATTTATTACGTACTGGTTCACGCAGAAAGACATGTCACCCTACCCGTTCATATTATTCTGACTCTTAGCCGCCTACTTGTCATTGCTATTAATCCTTAATGCCACGTGCCTAGCGGAGAAATAGCAAGTATCAATTTTCAAAGACTTTTGTTTGATCCGACCGGTGTTCGAACCCACGATTTCCTGCATTCGAGGCAATCCACGACAGTAATTCACAAAAAATATCTTCCTACGGTTTATCCGTGAATGTGTCTTTAGACACAAGTCATAATTTTGCTATATTCGATCCGTTTATAATTTCAGGGATAAGGTATTATAAAATGTATGACGATACGAACATTTAGTAAATGTTGTTGTTAAATTACGAACAAGATTTGCCAAAAAAGCATACTTCAAATGAAAAGATATGATATTGCCAATAGATACCAACAAAAGTGGCTTTACTTGAGTATTAGTAGCCGTATGTACTTCAACGGTGAGTAACACCAATACCATATAGTTAGTCATAAAAGGTGCCGACATGACAAAATGCAAATCACTCAAAGGTGAACCGACGGCCTAACCAACAACAAAAAAAAAAAAAAAAAAACCAATAATAAACGAAAAACATATATTCATGATATTATAGACTAAATCAACCGAAAAGTACTGAAATACAAGCTCCTGACTCAGAATATATCAATCCTCCCCTTTTGGCCGAGCCTGTAACATGTTGTCCCAAAGAAGCATGAAACAGCATTCAGTCTTATGTTAAAAATGTAGCACTACCAAATATAATCCTATAATGACTTATTTCATGTCCAATTATGAATATTTTTTACTGACAAACTCATTTTTGTGTACAAGGGTTTACGGCTATCATATATCATTCTTATGTTGAAATAAAATGTTTTATTTCCCAAAATAGCCAGAAATTCACAATAGTCTTTACATAGTGATTCCATTACAAGAATAAACATAAAATGTAAATTTTGATTACTAGTATTATAATTAACTGCAGACATATTTGTATTTAATGGCATGCATTTCAATCAGTTCGGACAAGAAATAACTTAAGTGGAGCTTTATTAAAAAATTAATGTCTTTCTGTATGACATGTATAGTGGAATTTTCATATGATAAACACTTTTGATCTCTGACTGTACATGTCATTGTCGTCGGAGTTCTCAACATTAGGTTTCAGTATATGGTTAATTTGTTTTTAAAAACCAAAAACTTTGTCAAATCATCATAGTATTGTATAAAACTGGGGCAGAAACTGATTAATGATTAAAAGACTATATCCAGAGCAAAATTATTAATCTTAATTTTCATTTTTCTATATTTAACTGATAAATGGACTGACTAATTTGCAATGAACAGTCCGTTTGAACTGTTTTAATCTTTTCTATATATGATTGGATTCTCATTATTGTTGAAGTCCGTGCGATAACGCATTATTTGCGTAAATCATGGCCATTCTGTCCCCAAAGTATATTTGTTCCCATAAGCAATCAAACCCCAAGTAAAAATTGTATATTTGGTAGTGACATAACCAATGGTATTTTATGACTTTACACGATCCATTCAAATGCTGGTTGAATTGATGAATAATTTATAGTAACAAATAGCCAAAGTGACAATAGAGAAATAATAGCTAAACAGGATCACACGAATCACTGACATAATGGTAATTTCAACAGACCAGATCAGAAACACATGCAGAAAAACCCATAGTTTAATCAAAGATAAACAATAACGAACAAAAATTAAATAACCAATTGTTCAGAGAAAGTTTTTCCACCAAAAAACCATGTATTTTGATATGAATATATTGCAATCGAGTTTTAAATGTCATTTCCAGTGTCAGCTGATAGCTAACTGTGCAATGATTCCAAACATATATGGTTTCTATACATTTTTGTCTGAATAAGGGAGATAATTTGATACTTCAGGTTTGAAAATGTCACTTCAGGTATAATATGATAGTTTACTTGACACTGATTCAAAAAATATATGGTTCTTTTTACTTTCACATTATAAGTACAAAAAATAGCTACTTTCGGTTCACACAAGGTCACTTCTGGTTGGCTTTTTCAAGGTCATATAGCTTGCAACATAATGCAAGAAGTCCCATGGCTCTATAATTTATGAATATAGAGTTAAGCAAAGGTCAAAATCTAGAACGTCAACTTTACCTATGACCTTGGTCTAAATTTCAAGGTCATAAAGTAAGGACCTCAAATCAAAAGACCCTATGTCTCTACTATATATGGTTAATAAGATATATCACCATAGAGCTAGTTGTAACTATGAGAGGGAGAAAACTCCAATTTTAAGTCAACGTACCCGTTCAACCAAAAATTATGTGTTACGACAAGTCACATGCAACAATTTAGTAAACACATTTTGTCAATATCTTATACGGCTTCTGAAAATAAGAAAAAACAAGCCAAAATCAAAAATTTAGAACATGACCTTGACCTTTGACCTTGACCTCATTATTCTTTTAGTGGACTAATGACCTCAAATCAAAATACCCTAGGTGTATATCACTTATGGTTTACAAGTTACAAATAAATATCACTATTTCAAATACATAAGGGGGAATAACTCTCATATGGAGTCTTCGTAACTCTTCGGTTTAGATGAAACGTAACATTCTGAAGATATGACGAGTAATTTGGAAAAATATTTTTTCCTTTCTTTTACGGTTGCGATAAAGAAAAACAGTGTTCGGGGAGATAACTCTTACAAAAAAAGTGTTCCGTTAAACAGGGTCAGTTTCAAAAGCGTATAGACTGTATGATAACATATACAAAAAGTCTAAGCGACATCCTCTGAAACATCAATACAGCCCAAGAAAAAAATTGGCAGAAGAAAAAAAAAAATATCACAACAAAATCAGTAGGTCTTTCCACGGAAAAGTTGAAAGACCTAATTATCGAGAATGGCAGCCCTTTTACATCATAACATGTGATGGGGGTTAAAGCAGTTTTTGAAAAACTCCCCAAATGTATTGATTCTTCTTCAAATGAACCAAGAAGAAATAATAATTGTTTTTTATCATGTATCATCAAGACCTTATTCATCGAGAATCGACACAAATATAAGTTTATGCTACATTGCGAAAACCTGATAAAATGGAAATAATGTTAATAATTTTGCGATTCAACTTTTTTTCAGGAGGAATAAATATTGTTTACATTGTACAGGTGATGTGGTGTTTCTAAAATTTACAGTAGAAATGACTAATATGCTATGGCTCAATTAAAACAATTTTCGATGAAATAAAACTGAATATCAACTTTTATTTATGTTCGTTTATCAAATAACATCAAAAACCAAAACACATTTTCCCCAATTAATGACAATATATAATTTAGTACAGTTTTTGTTGAAACATAAGGCAACTGGTTGTATGATACCATGTTGACTGTCTAATGGTATATCTAAAACTTTGCCGTTCTGGGTCAGTCGGTGTATGTTGTTCGAACACTGGCCACTGACATAGACGTGTCCATTGTTATCAGAACATATATCAGTAGGCGTATCCATAGTTTTGATGGTAAAATTAGCATATGAATTAAGGTATCCGGGTTTCTTAATGTTGATATAGCTCTGACCGCCTATACAAGAGTAAATGGCACCGGTATTAGCTGCATGGAACTTTACAATACGGGGATCAGCAAGTGTTCCGTCTGACTGTTGGATTGCAGGTATATCTGTGAGAATACTGAAAATAAATAAAATCAACGACAAGTTGAAAATGAACTGAAATGAAGGACAGGATTTTAAGACTTTTTTGTATAAAAGATAAAAAAAAACAGTGACATAGTCTGCTTCTCTGTAATATAATGTTCAAAAAATGTGTAAGCTGTAACTTTGACATGTCATGCCTATAGATTTTACATCTGTGACTACACAGTCAATTAAAGATAAAGCCAATTGAAGTTATCTGTTTACTTAATCTTTCACTGATGCTAGGAAACCTTTGACGAAATGTTTCCTGTTCAATGAATATTGTACAATTGCAAACTATTGACAAAATTTAGCTTTACGGCAGGTGTGGAAATTGCTTACTCACTACAACTCAATATTATCAAGCTGAAGACAAAATATTGAATCATTCTCTGTCATTAGAGCAAAACAAACTTTAAGTGTTGTAAAATCGGCAAACAGTAAGTAGATACATGGCAGATATACCAATTGCTTACTTACATGTACAACAACTGAACATTTTTTTTTATTCGGATGAACGGACGAAGTCGAGCTGTTACTATACCTGCTTCTACCTCCCTCAATGCAGATAAAACATATGTCATATGTTTATGGAAACTGTTCCAGAAGAATACATTCTAAAACAATAACTTACATGTCATAATCATTGACTGGACAAATGAATAAAGAACCATTTACTCTAACGCCAAGATAACACGGAACTTTATTCTGAATGTCCCTCCCAGAGTTTGGGACTGCTGACGCACACACCACAGTAGAAAATAAATCGTTGCTTGTTACTTTATTGAGTATAACCATTCGGTCCGGGTCTATTTGTAATACTGTTCTAGTGTTAGGTTGAGTAACATATCCTATGTTTTGACTTGTAATAGCCAAATCAAATGGCTCACTGTCTAGGTTAAGAGTCCTGAAATGAGTTCCAGTGGGAGCAAATAAAATAAGATTCTTATTATCGTAGTCACATACTAAAATGTTCGCCTTTGTTGTCGCTGCTATCCCAGTAATTCGTCCGAATTCATGGTTGAATTTTCCCTTGTAAATAAATCCATGTCTTACATCTCCTGGGACAGCCAACACCTGCGCCATCACTAAAACATTTGAAAAGAAAAATATGAATTGAATTTGTACAGGCTAATGAGAAAGCTTTATCGTGTAAAAGTGGCAACAAACTAAGAAGATATAATTTATTCAAGAGCGGTTAGGGGAGGGTTGGTGCCTTCAAACTAGTTGAACCCCATCTCATTTTGTGTGCATGTCCAAAGTCAGGATCCTGTAATTGAGTGCTTGTCGTGTGTTGATATATATAATTTTGATTTTCATTCATCATTTTGTACATAAATCAGGTCGTTAGTTTTTTAGGTTGATTTATTTGTTTTACATTTGTCATCTCGGGACCTTTTATAGCTGACTATGCGCTATGGGTTTTATTTATTGTTGAAGGCCGTACGGTGACCTATAGTTGTTAAGTTCTATGTTATATGGTCTCTTGTGGAGCGTTGTCTCATTGGCAATCATACCACATCTTCTTATTTTTTACATATTGACATGTACAATTCCAATGCCATTTACACATGTGGAGAGGTACTATAGAGAATTGAAACGGTGAGATCTAAAGACTTTTAGAGGAGCAAGTCTGTGATAATTGTGAATATATTTCAGAAGATGAAGCTCGTGTTATATTATCGTTTCCATTATGTGACGATTTAAAAAAAAAATTGATGAGACAAAACATTTGAATAATGATTTTTTGTCTTTTAAGGACTAACAGTTATTAAAGTTTAAGTATACAGCTATGATATGATATAATTCATTATTATTGTATATTTACCTCATGATACACATAACATGACATATATGTGTCTGAGTGTTGATTTATAACAAATCTTGAAATCTTGATATTAACATGATTCTCAGCTCAAAGCCTTTTATCATGTTTTAGATAGACATGTTATACTGTAAGTAGTGTACTTATAAATATGTTGTATAATAAATGGATTTTTTATAATATTGAATGTTATAGTCTTTTATAATTCTGATCAAAATGACCCTCTATTCTATATCTATATGTTTTTACACTAAATGCTATGTTGTATTTTGTATTATTGAAAGATGAGACTAACATACAATATTGAATTGCATCGCAAAGACAGTCTATCTATTATTATATTTTGATTACTTTTCCCTTTATCATCAATTATATCATTGACAAATAGAACTTCACTTGTTACTAAATTTTTGAAGATGAGGATTTTTCCATTTTTTTTTTATGTATTAATTTCCCTAAAAGAAGCTGCTGTTGAATATGATTATATGACAATTGATTTAGTTTATTCCAGATTTTGATCATTTTCATATAAAATTTGGAAGTATCTCCTTTCAATTAATCAATTAAATTAATTTTGTCAAAACTCACTCTGAATATCAAAAATTCTTGTCTATGTTTATTAAAGTAGAATTTTGGTATTACTTTTCAAAAAGTTGATGCGTCATCATGATTCGTGATTCTTCTTACCCAATTCTTATTATTAGATTCAATATATATATCTTTACCCATCATCTTGAGTCTACACCATAATCTTTACTTAATACTGTTCTTTTTATCGTTTCTGTTGTATTTTTTCATATAAATCTATAAATTAACTTTTTAAATTTTGCCAGGTATTCTTTATCAATATCTGTAACTGATACAACATCAGTGATGTTTGGTAGGATTAAAGATTTGACACGAGTTATCTTTCCTATCATTGTCAAGTTTCTTTTATTCCAATTGTTAATTATTTATTTCTGATTTATCGTATTGTTATAAATATTTGATTTAAGATTATATTTTTCCGTGCTTTCTGTTAAACAAATAAGAATGTTCATGCATATAACACGATCAGATAATCCGTTAAAGATCTGCATGGTAGAATAGCCGATAAGTAGGACAGTTTAATTGTCCTCAATTTGACTAAATGGTAATTGAAACTGAACATTCTCGACCAAATTTACCTTTATTCTAACCGTTTCAATTAAGACTGTTATTTGAATAAAATTCAAATGTTTTTTACTTATGTAAATATTTAGTAATAAATCTTGTACACAAAGGTAAACTAGTAAACAGAAAGTCAAATTGATCATTGGAAAATACAGGCAATCCATTAAAATGTAGGTCAGTTTTATTTTCTGAAATTTAACCACAATGAAATTGAAACTAAAAAGTGACGGTCGAACAAGTTTTCCTATGATCTTAACGTTACAATTTGAACTATTATTTCAATTAAAGTTATATCATTATAATTTGTACATACCTAGTCATAAGCCTTACACATATATCATGTATACGTAAACAAGTTAACCAAAAGACCATCGATTAATTCAAGGTGAAGCTCTGTCAATGCATGGGAAATATAGCTGATCAATACAAATATAGGTCAGTTCTATTTTCTGAAATTTGACGAAAAAGAAATTGAAATTAAAAAGTCTCGAACAGCTATACCTTATTTCTTATGTTCTTTACTTTTCAATTAAGACTATGATTCTAATTAAAGTTATATCATTATAATACGTACATATCTAACCAAAATCTTACCCCTATATGTAACCTAGTAAACAAAACAACCACTAGGTTATTTAGATGGCATTTGCTATCCGGCAGCTAGGTTGTTATTTATGTACCCTACTTGAATGTATCTGCAAACTATGACTGAAAAAAAAAAATATCACCATTTACTAAATATTTTTTCCAAGCTGAGGGATAAATCAGCTAAAGAAAAAATATGAAAGAATTTTACCAACTGGGAAAATAATTTTTTGATGTTTTTTTAACTTTTTTATTCACTGCATTATAAAAGACCTAAAAGCACCAGTGTCCTCCTTAGGAGAAATATTAGACTGTTAACATTCATATTCAAATGTCTTTTTGATTATCTTAATGAAAGTGTTTCAGTTAACTGTATATTTAGGTTCTTGAGAAGTGTTATAAATTGGTAAAATAGTTTTCATTATATATATGGCGCAGGGAATACTAATCTAATATAACGTTATGTTGTGTTGACAATGGACATTTACACGCGTGGAGTCGGCAAAGGTTTTCAAAGTCTCAAAAGAAACAACTAAATTAATACAGAAGTAAACATTATCGTATGATAAATACTGGAACCGTTCACATCTTTTACTGGTGTCTTAGACCTGTTAGATACTTTTTGATATACATATATTTATATTTGTTTGCTTAAAATGATGGGGGGGGGGGGGGCAAAACATTGATAGCAAAAACAGCTAGTATTAAATCCAAGACATAAAAAATAGCAAAACAAGAAAATACGGAATACAACCAGAACAAGAAAATATCGCTCCCGAGGTCATGTGTACATATGAGTGACTACCAGTAACATGGTCAATAAAATCAGGTTAATACTCTTGTTAAAACAATTGCTTCACAAGAAAAGATGAAGTCACATTGTAGACTCAAATGATTAGCTTTGCTTGCATGTACATTCAAATATTATGTCAACATCATTTTTCTGGATGTTTTGATTTAAAGCAACAATTTGAGGTAATACTACATGAATTTTACTTTTCCTTTCTATGCTCAAATTATTTCCAAAATGTCATTACCAGGACCTCCAGACCCAAAACGTCCCCTTTACAATTTAAATGTGTAATAACTGTCTTTTTTGCTTTGGTTACGAAATTTGTGTTTAAAAATATACAAGAATTAAATAGAATGATCTAAATACAGAAACGCAGGATAATTTGTTGGTAAATATGTCGACATAAATAAAATGTAACAGCGGATATGGCTATCTATGATTTTTAAAAATGTTTAATTTTGCAAATATAATGTACATAGCCAGATTTAAATTATTGAATTGTATTTACTAAAAATATTTGAGATCCTATAATAAATCATCATAAAGCATACGAATTTGTACCTTTTATAGGTCCTTCAATAAAGCAGACAACAGATACAAATGATCTACAAAAACAATATAACCAATTTTGAAATATATCCTATCAAACGATCGGCTTCAAATCGGCTCTGCAGGATAACCCCAAAGCTAAAACTTCATTTTCCCTAGACATGTAGATACGTCACGTAAATGACAAAAAAAAAGAAAATTCATGCATACATAAATAGGTAGTTTGTTAAGGTCATATGTTGGTTGTTTGTTGATATTACACAACACCATACATTAGAAACAAAAGGATGGTTGACTAGTGATTTTCATGTTTTCAAAAAGTTTCAAGATAATGGCAGTTTACTTTTACATTTACTCACAAATTGGTTTTTATGCTTTTTGCACTTCTGTTTGACTATAATCGAAGAAACATTTTGCAAACAATTGATCGGAAGTCAATTTCATTTTTCGTTTTAGAAAGCTTGTAATGCATTTCCGTTCATCATTATGGATCTTGACAATACAAGTTTGCTTTCGGTATTCGTGATATATATATATATATGCAGTGTAAAATCAAATATTTACACTTAGCAATCATCATGTTGCAAACACGAAAAAATAAAAAAACGAAACAGAAAACGTTTAAAACTGTTTTATCGACGAAAGTAGTGCTTATTTTCAGAGGCAAAATGGAAGTCGCGTACTGCTTTTTACTCTGCGTTTTGTTGTATTTTAAATTAATAACAGGAACTCTTGTAAGGGAAATATACTCTCAACATGTATTTGCGTATGATGAAACTTATGAAAATGAAAACTCTCTTTATATAACTTACGTAGGATCTCCTTTGCAATGCTTAATAAAATGTTCAAATGACAACCGATGCGTATCATATTTTTATACTACAATTACGAAAACGTGTATTCTACATGCAGACCCGTTCGTGTACACAAATATATCAAAATCTAGACCCGGTTGGATATTTATCAAAACGTTAATAAGTAAGAAGAAATAATGAACGCTATTCTTACTGATTAAAAAAAAAAAGAATTCAAACACAGCACTATAATATATTGATTAACAGATAACTTGAAGAGTGTTTTTATATTAAAAAAAATTTTTTAAGAATACAAGTATTGCATAACATTGTATAAAAATTTATATTCTGATCTTGAAAGGGGCGTTAGCTATCTATATTACTAAATGAATAGAGTTGAAATTGGGTGTCGCGTTTTCTTCTTTCACATAAAATCCAAGAATATTGTTTTATACCACAAAGGGGTAATGACCAGCGTAGTTTATTATGTGTTCATTTCAAGATCTTTTGGGGGGGTATTTGGAAGTTAAAATCGGAAAAAAGCCAGTTCGGATCTACCGTCCTTCACGACGTTCGGCTCTGGAATGTACGTGCCGTCATCATTTCCGTCATTGCACGTCTGCCCGGCAAAATTAAATATTATTTCGTAGCAAATACAATAAATATTGACCTTACACTGAAACACTTTGTGATACACATTCCCTTGACGCTCTCAGCAATTTAACAACAGATTTTTACACGTCAAGAGCTTTTCCTTCCGGGGAACCGCATCAGTTCAACATGAAAAGGGTGGGGGGATTACTTTAGTCTTCGATTAAAAATGGGTACCGAAGTGCGGCTGGAATGTGACCCACCCCCGTTCATATTTTAATGCATACAATTTTCAGCCCACTCATATATGGTGGTTGTTCTGAGCACGGAAACACTAGAAATCAGGTGCGGATCCAGGATTTAATGTAAGAGGAGAGGGGGGAGGGGGGATTGGGTGCAAAGAATATTGTTTTGCGAAACGGAGCATGTTGCGAAATATTTTTGGGTAAATAAGCAAAAATTTACGTGCCGTCATCATTTCCGCTTTGTCTGCAATGTCATTTGCTATAACGAATGTTCAGCCAAATGTGCAACTGTGTCACCACTTATTGATTATGGTTATTTGTACTCTTCCACATTTAGAAGCACCAAAGAGGTCACCCAATAGAGGGTTGGTATAATGACACCACGTTCACATCCCGTATTAGGTACGGACCATTTGATTTTCCGTGGGATGGGGCTGGGATTGTCATGCGCACCTGGATTTTTTATCATTCAATGTTTTCCCTATGTGTTCAGTACACAAAATGTATTTCCAACATTTTTTGGGGGATTGGCAAAACTGCTAGAAGTGCTAGACAGATTATTTTTTGTTACCAAATCAGGGTCAGGATATTTTTGGTAAAAAATCCCTCTCAGTTTTCACTCTATATGTCACCAATTAAAGGTATTTAGTAACACATATTATTTTGATCAGTGCAATGCATCCAGGGTATAACAATGACATATCCTATAATTAGATCACAAACGCCAATAGTTTCTGTCGGGAAGACTATTCTTTGGGTGTCATATTGAGTGGTGGTATTTCGTCTGTGACAAGCTTCAAAAAGATTTAAGATCTTAATATCGCCTAACACCAAATTTATATATCTTCAAATTATGAACCAAAGTATATTTCGCGGGTATTTTCTAGTGATTTATATAAAAAAATGAAATACAATTTTTAAACATTTATCATTATTAAAATATAGAAATAACGATGGCTCTACTTCGTCAAAATAAGCTGGAAAACATCGTTGAAATATAATTAGGTTGTAAATCAATCAAATTCAACTCATTTGAAAACGGTTCAATCGCCATTTTCTACATTTGAAAAAACCTGTACCAAGTCAGGAATATGACAGTTGTTGTCCATTCGTTTGATGTGTTTTATCATTTGATTTTGCCATTTGATTAGGGACTTTCCGTTTTGAATTTTCCTCGGAGTTCAGTATTTTTGTGATTTTACTTTTTATTCATGACACACTTACTTTGACTTACTGAGATGGGTTGCACATGTGTTCAGACTGTGGTCACACGTCGGCTCATTCAGTACAAAGAATTAGAATGTCAAAACGTTGAAAAGTGAAACAAAGGAGTCATTAGGAATAACCGTTTCGTTGACAGATTCTGCCGACAAATTGTGTTTTTTAAAGGTAAATCTGTGTTTTAATATATTTGATTCATGATTCTACCTATAACAAGAAATTAAAAATACCGTCAAAAAATTGTTCCTATACGATTGCGCATACTTATTTATCTTTTTATATTAATGTTGATATGGAGTTATATGACTGTGACCAGTTTCGTAGGTCATCTTGATAGATAAATTATATGTCATCTTGTCTAAAATGCACGAAATGCTGCGAGTGCATTCGTTGTTAACTCTTTTTTTTGTAGACTTTCGTTACTTTGATATGTCTTAAGTCAAGAATGTGTGAAATAAAAAATGATAATTTACGTCAAATCGGCAAACATGAAGTTGACAGTCAATGCCATTTAAATTTTAAGCATATAAGCATATTGCAAGAGTGAAATTTAACCTGTCATGCCTACCATTCATGCAACAAACAAATCATATAACAGGGGATATCGAGTTAATATCAGTGAAAGAGTATACTAAAATAATACAAATTTACAAAC